CTAATAGCGTTCACTAAATTTGAGATATATTAGTATGATTTTTCTTTAATATTATTCAATAATTCGAGTACTTAACATTAGTTTAGGTAGCAATGAACCCCATATTTTATCATTGGTGGTCAATTATAATTTTTGTTTATTTATTTATTTATTTTTTTTATTTTTTTTTGTGGCTTTCTATCGATAGTATGAATGTGGAGTTCACGATCGAATCAGTGATACTTTTTCAATTAGACAACAAAATATGAACTAGGAAGACGTTGAGAGACCCCCATTAGATAAGTATTAAAAAGTTGTAGTATTTGTGTCTTGGAAGAAAAGTAATTGCAATTTTTCTACACTTGGAAAGAAGTAACTTTTGTCTTCAATTTTTATACATTTTGGAGAACTTCTAAATCTGGATTAGCTCATTACTTAGGCTAAGTAATGAGCTAATCAAGAATTAGAAGGTCACCAAAATGTACAAAAATTGAAGACAAAAGTTACTTCCAATTATGTTTTCCAAATGTAGAAAAATTGCAATCATTTTTCTTCCAAGACACAAATACTACAATAATCAAGAATTGGACAGTAACAAAAACGGGGATAAGTAATGAACTAATCAAGAATTGGAAGGTCTCTAACATAGATAAAAATTGAAGACAAATAAAAAATGAAATTTTAGTGGATTTTGATTAAAAAAAATAAAAAAAAAAATTGATGGAATCCGTAGTTAAAAAGTTATGGGTTCTATGAAATTTATAGTTAAAATTTATTTTAATTTTGATTTAGATTATAATCGAATTTTTTAGTTGAACCAAACATGGACTTAATTAGACAGTTGTGTAGATCTAAGCTTATGTTTATAAGCATTTTAAATAATTTTTTATCCACGCATTTCAAGGTATTTATAAGTACTGTCTACTTATTTATCCCCCATTTATATCTATTTATAAGTACTTCTAGATCAAGAACGTTTTCTCCATTTTCAATTGGAAGATATTGATATCGATCAGCTGTGCGACTTGAATGGATGTACTCTATACGTACAAATTGACTTTCATAACGGGCTAGGAACTATTAAACGACCTATAAAGGACGAACACAGAGTTCCTTGTAAACACTAATAAGGCTGAGAATGAGGCCGAAAAAAACAACGGTTGAGGCTGAAGTTGCCAAATTGAAGTAGACCGAGGTGTAGGTGAAGTTGGACTCTATGTGGCTCAATAAGCTGGCTGAAAAACTAAGTCCACTTGTCTTAGTTCAAGGTCAATGCATTGATGAACTAGTGGAGGCCTCCAATAATCATCAAAAAATAGTGGCCAAGGCTTTGGAGGCAACCAACAGGGGAAGTGGGAGTTGAAGGCCCTGTTGGGGAGTCTCTAGAAGAGGTCGTGGATATGAGGCATCAACTTCACACGGTGAAGAACCCGTGAATAGTCATATAAAAAACTTCCATTCAACAGAAGATTATGACTTTTTCGACAACTATTGGAGGAGATTTGTCTATGATGAGCTACTGAATTAAACTCGGGAAATGTATCCTGATTTTGACACCAGAAGAATTTCTTCGAGTTGAAGAGCCACCTACCCCAGCAGACAGCTAAATGGATCTGGTTGATCATCCGTCTGATGCCCAATACCCTCCAGTTGACCCCGAATCTTATGATCTTATTTCTTTCCCTTTCTGAATTTTGTAACTTTCAAGGCTTCGTTTTCCTTGTAAATATTTCCTTGTTAATTAAGTATTGCCTTTTGAATTCTACTTTATAAGTAAAAAAAAATAATAAGAACTGATCTCTTAACCACCAAGGCCCTGTTTGGTACACATTAATATAAAAATGAAAATGAAAAATATAGACGTTACGAACCCCACACAAAAGATAGAAAGTCAAATATGATGACTTGCTGTGATAGATAACGGTCATATTTTTATTTTAATGGACAAATAATAGGAAAAACGGGGGCTAAATAAGTAATTTGATCACCTTGACTAATGAGTAACTAATCATCTCAACTGAGTAAGTACTTAATCTCTTCATCTTGTACAACTTGAATTACGTCACTCTACTAAGTTAAATCACTTAGGCGTGACTAATGTTGACCATTCCCACATGATCAATCGAGAGTCACTCCACGTATATTCCTCTCTGCGCATGACACAAACAGTCAGACTTATATGGCCATTCCTAGCTAAGGTGGAGCGGCCACATATACTCCGACGATCAAGCAAATCGACGGTGAATGTATTTCGATGGTGGCAGTCTGTCGGGACTTCTTTGTAAGAGGGAGGAGTATATACATGTATGCTTTAAATATGAAGTAACATTATCATGCTTGGGCTATCATGCTTAGGCTAAGCTCTTTGGTATTAATAGGGAGAAAAGTTGGAAAGGGCATCGTTGGATGCAATACACAAGAACTCATCTGATGGTGCGAAGCGCCCATTCGTAGGCGTTCCTAAAGATATAAATAGAGATTTGACCAAAAGATTCATTTGTAAAAATGGCGGTAAAGAGGCACTTCTGCCACACATACCGCCTTGGTTCACATCACTTCGAACAACGATGCCTCCAAAGATGTCACCCAAGACAATGACGCCTTGGTTGGTCACCTGCCCCATGGCTAACATTGGCTCATCGTACTTCAAGGTGCTCTCTACTTAGAAGGCGTAACAACTACAACTCCGGCCCATTGGATGAAAATTATTGGTGCGAGATGTAAGCTTTGTCCACTGACAAGTGATAATGACGTTTCAAACTCATAATTTCTTCCAAATTAATGCTTTATTGTTAACATCGACGAACTTAATAACTAAATCATGGAGATAATATTGATGCCTTAACGAACTTATTGATTTTTTTTTTTAAATTTAAATTCACCATTTTCCATCAAGTTAATTGTTCTAATGGTCATTGAACTTACGTTCATGTCGTTAATTGGTCACTGAAATTTAAAATGTCGAGTTCTAATCAGTGAACTTACATCAATGTCTTCGATTGCTCACTAAATTTAGGTCCATATCTTTAATTGGTCGCTGAAATTTAAAATGTCGATTTTTGGTCACTGAACTTATGACAATGTCTTCGATTACTCACTGAACTTAGATCAATGTCTTAGATTGCTCACTAAAATTGAAAATGTCAAGTTGTGGTCATTGAACTTTGGAATTTCCTTACGTTACTCACTAGCACATCTGTTGAATTTTAAAAAATATCGAGTTTACAGTGAATAATGTATAACATTTTTCAAAATTCAGTGAATAAAGAACAATATTTTTCAAAGTTCAGTTAGTAATATACAACATTTTTTCTAAGTTCAATGGTGAAAACTTGACATTTTAAATTTAGTGAGTAATCGAAGACATTGACCTAAATTCAATGATCAAAACTCGATATTTTTCAAAGTTCAGTGACGAAAACACGACATTTTAAACTTCAGTGAGCAATCGAAATCTTGGACCTAAGTTCGGTGATCAAAACTTGACATTTTAAATTTCGGCGACCAATCAAAGACATAGACCTAAGTTCAGTTACCATTGAAAAAACTAACTCTTTTTCCATCAAGATAAGATTCCCCAAACTTGTAACGACTCGAAGACACGGTAACGCATTTAAACCCAAGATACTTATGGTGTTACCAGAATGCAGTAATATTGTGAATTTCTAGGTAAAAACATCTATTTTCAAATTTCTAAAAATAATTCAAGACTTCTGAACGAGGGTTAGGGAGGGTAATCGGGCTCGTCGGCTTGGATCGCTCATGGCTTGCCCCGATTTGAATTCCCGAGGCAAGCCCAAGCTGCCTGGCGGGCCTTTATATAAATAAATTAATTAATTAGAGGCAGCACACTGATGCCATTTTTTAAGGCAGTAGCTTGCTGCCTAAAAAAAAAAAAAAAGGAGCCTGCCCGACTCGATTCGGAAAGGCTCGAGCCGAAAGCTCGAGTCGAGCTTAATTTGTTTGACCAAGCTTTTGCTATGCTCTGGCTCGAAAAAAAGCTCGGACATTTTATATGAGTCTAGCTTAGAATTTTGACTCGTGAACACGCTCAACTCCGCTCGTTGACATCCCCAATGAGGGTCCTAAAAAAAGCTAGGTTGGAGGCCTAAAGAGGCAACTTTACTAAAGTAACCCTAAAGTTGAGAGTTTTTTAAAAAAATCATATGAAATTATTTTAAAAATAAAAAAATATTTTGTAACACTTAAAAAAAGTTTAAAAAATTCCAAAAACAAAAAAGAAGACAAAATATCAACGCATTGAAATTAGTTCAATAAAGTGACACAATCACCATCCCTCATATTTCTTTCTTCACTGCTGAACATCTTAAGTCAGTCCATCAACAAAACATCAATCAAAATGTCAAGCATCTTTAAGTCAATTCATCATTGTCGTCTTCGTTTGGCTTCCTCAAATTTTTTTATATGATTAATGGGTTAAATGGATTGGACACTTAAAGATGCTTGACGTTTTGATTGGTATTTTGTTGATGAACAGACTTAAGATGTTCAGTGATGTACGAAGAAAGAGGAGGGTCAGTGGTTGTTTCACTTTATTGAACTGATTTCAATATTTTAATTGGTGTGTCACTTTTTTAGTGTTTATCACATTTTTGAATTTTTCATATTTAATGTCATTTTTTTGAATTTTTCACTTTTTTAGTATTTGTCATTTATTTTGTCACTTTCTTGAAATTCTATTTTTTTTTTAATTACAAACATTTCTTTTTTAATGAAAGTCATATTGTATGTATTTTTTTTATTAAAAAAAGCGATGCTTAATTTTACTGAATTTCTAAAATACTTTTCATATGAATTATCAAAAGATTTTTAATTTNTTTTTTTATTAAAAAAAGCGATGCTTAATTTTACTGAATTTCTAAAATACTTTTCATATGAATTATCAAAAGATTTTTAATTTTAGAAGTACCTTCGTAAGTTGCCCAATTCAAATAGCCCAATATTTTGCGCTCACCTTTCGGCCCATATAGCAAAACTAGGGTTTATTTTTCCTTAATTTTACATAGTCTTCCCTCCTCCCTGATTAGGGTTTTTAGTTCTCTATTCTTTCTATCTGACTGAGATTTCAGAGTGTAAAAATGAAGACAATTCTCTCGTCGGAAACCATGGATATACCGGATGGAGTGAAGATCAAGGTGAAGGCAAAAATGATCGAAGTGGAAGGTCCTCGGGGCAAGTTGACCCGGAATTTCAAGCATTTGAATCTGGATTTCCAGTTGATTAGCGATGAGGCTACTGGTAAGAGGCAATTGAAGGTCGATGCCTGGTTCGGGTCCAGGAAGACTTCCGCCGCCATCCGCACGGCGCTCAGCCACGTTGATAATCTGATAACCGGTGTTACTAAGGGATACCGTTACAAGATGCGGTTTGTGTATGCTCACTTTCCGATCAATGCTTCGATCACTAATGGCAGCAAGTCCATTGAGATCCGTAACTTCCTTGGCGAGAAAAAGGTCTGAACTTTAGCATTTTATACACATTATATTAATGTCCGCGTATGCATTCATAATAGTACGCATAAGTACCATAGTTGAATATTCAGCAATAGAATGATGCGTTGTTTAACATAAGGTTGCTAATTGGCTGCATCCTCTATTTTACTTTGTATAGTAATGTAATCTCTGAATGCATGATATTAATATAACTTCATGATGAATTTTATTTATTTGCATTTAGTTGAGTATTTAATTTAATAATCATACAATTTTCTTTGCATTTATTGGAACTTGATTTCTCTGCATCTCTCTATTTGATTATATTTGACAAAATATACTGCATTCTATATGCTTTATGTTGATATGAAATATATGTTGGTGTAAGATTGAGATCACGAGCATACTGGGACCTCCAAACATTTATACAAGTACTGATAAGAATGAAATATAAATGCACTGGGTTTCTATCTTCATAATATTGGGATAGTAGGATATTTTTTGCAGAATATATTTATATTCTTGGGACATAGATTCTACAGAAATACCTGCTGCGTTGTAGGCCGACAGGTCTGGCATCCTCTTTTTTTTTTCTTTTTTTTTTTTAATGCTATAAGTTCCGTTGGTGGCTTGCATGTGCCTAAGCTTGTCGTGGCCTTTGAATTAGCTGTTAGTGAAACTATTGTTTCTCTCTATTATTTTAGGTGAGGAAGGTGGATATGCTTGAAGGGGTTTCAATCGTCCGTTCTGAGAAGGTTAAGGATGAATTGGTTTTGGATGGGAATGACATTGAGCTTGTTTCTCGATCTTGTGCTTTGATAAACCAGGTGACACTCTTCTTATGTATTTATAGACAGACATATGAAAACATACATAGCTCTTTATCTTATTTCTTTCCAAGCACATACTGAAAATACATTTTGTTTGAACAGAAATGCCATGTCAAGAACAAGGATATCCGGAAGTTCCTTGATGGTATCTATGTTAGTGAGAAGGCAACCATCGTTGAGGAAGAATGAGTAGTTAAGTTGTAGGAATATATCCATTGATGGTTTCATTCTGGCCTTCATCACCAGGTTTATGTGGAGAATTCTTGTAGACATGCTTGGAATTTTGATTTTACAATTTTGTACTATGAAATTTCAAGTTGAAAGTATCTTGGTTGGTTATGGATATAATTTTCCAGTTAAATCAATTTACTTCTTGTTCTGGGCATGGATACCTCCTCTTCTTGTTGTTGGACTCCATAGTTCTCTCTCTTAGAGCACAAATGTGGTTGTATTCTCAAACAAGTCTTTCTTCTTTTGATATGTTTAATGGACTGCCCTTGCCTGCCTTGGACCACAGGGTTCCTACATAGAGCATTGAAAAGTTTTTGCTCTTGGTGAATGGTATTCAATCCCTTGAATTAATTTGAGTCGTATTCTTTTTGTTCCCATCTGCCTTCATTTTTCTTGGAATGCAACTGGTCCAAAATTTACAAGTGCCAAACATAAGTCTCAAGTATTCTTAGGAAAGATATTCATATGGTCTGGACTTGGGATTTCTAAAGCACTGTCTAGAGATTGAAACCTGATGTTATGGTTCGTATGCATTGTACTGAAATCTCATTTTCAATTTCAGATAATGCTTATATAAAACCTTAACCTAATTTTTGTCTGCGTCGATCTTTGATTTTTCCCAACGATTTATTTGTTAGGCACCCTCATGTTCTGACTACGGTAGGAAATGTGCTGGCAGATAATACCTATATGATTGTCTCATACTATGATCATCTACATTATTGCAAAGAAGGCCAAATAATTGGGACTCTGGAAGTCGTATCCTTTGTAGGGACTTAAACTTGGAAGTTTGTATAGCAGTCGCTCTCAGTTGTGTGTTAAAGATGGCATTTACTTCATTAAACCCCACCCCAAAGGATTTGTGATTGGGCAGATGCTGATAATTCTTTAGCAAGTGGGTAGATAATATAACTTTGTAGTGTAATTTTAACTGGACCATGGAAATATATGATCTTCACATTACCATAAATTGCAAGACTCGAAAGTCTTTTTAGCTACAATATTCTTCTCTATTGTGCAAATTTTGCCTAATGGGTGTCTGCCCGTTCTTATCCATGTTATCGGCCATTCTTTTCTTTTCCCTGGTGCCCATCTTCTGGTATCCAAATCTCGTTGATTCATCACAGGATAATCTTAGCAATAAACCTGTAATTAATGTGACAAAACATCTCTCCTTTCATGATTTCAGCTCAAACAATCCAAGAACCGGCCAAGATGTTTCACTTTTAGGAAGTGCTGCAATTTCAAGTGAAAAGGGCTTTATCCAAATACCTGATCCAAAAGTTGAAACTGATCTTAAGCATCTAGCGGGAAGGGCCATCTACTCTTCACCTCTTCGCCTTTTCGATCCGGTCAGTCGAACTCCGGCCTCATTCGAAACTACCTTCTCCTTCCAGTTCCAAAGTCCTTCAAACATTTCCAACTCAAATCCCTTGAGGGGCTCTAATTTGAGCGTCCCGGATGGTGGCAGTGGCCTTACGTTTATTATAGTTCCTGACGAGTTCACAGTGGGACGGCCTGGTGCATGGCTTGGTATGCTCAACGATGTATGCGACGAGGAGTACAAAGCCGTGGGTGTTGAATTCGACGCTCGTCAGAACCCAGAGTTCGGGGACCTGAACGACAACCATGTCGGAATCAATTTGGGAAGCATAGTTTCGACCACGGTCATCAGTATGTCAGACGTGGGAATTTATCTCAAAGATGGCTTAGTACACAGAGCTTGGATATCTTACGATGGATGGAAGAAATATATTGACATCTACCTCGGACAAGATAGCAATGAACCTCCTTCTAAACCTGTCTACTCGGGTAATCTTGATCTCTCACCTTATTTGAACGAATATATGTTCATTGGATTCTCAGCTTCGACTGGAAATCACACACAAATTCACAACATTTTGTCCTGGAATTTCACTTCTATAAGTCAAGCCAATCTACGAGTTCCTTCTCCAGAAACATGCGAAAGTAAAATCAGAGTTCAAAACAGTGAAAATCTTGAAGCTTCCCACAAGAAAACCCCCACTAGTTTCTTGATTTTCATAGCTGTAGTTATACTTTCTTTGATTATTTTGATTAATCTGTACTTCAATGGGAAACGAAAAGAGAGGAATAAAGACGAAATTATGGTGCTTGCTGAAAAAAAGCAGCGTCCAAGGCCGCCAAACAAGCCCCGAAAATTCACGATTTCAGAAATTTCTTCTGCTACAAGATGTTTTGGTGAGTTACAGATTCTGGGTAGTGATAATAGGAGTGTAACATATAAAGCCACTATGTTGACCGGTTGCAACACAGCGGTGAAGAGATTTTCCGGCCAGTTTTTCACTTCACGTGGATTGGATAAACGACGAATGCATAAAGAAATCAAAGCCATTAGTAAAATTCGCCACCCGAATTTGGTTCCAATCAGAGGGTGGTGCTTTGATCATCAAGAAACTATAGTTGTGTATGATTATATTCAGAACGGAAGTCTTGACAAGTGGTTATTCGGTGTCGGAGTTTTGCCTTGGACTCGTCGGTTCAGGGTGGTTAAAGATGTGGCTGAGTCATTGAGTTATCTTCATTCCAAGGAATTGGCTCATAAGAATGTGAAAACAAGCAGTGTCTTTCTTGACGTAAGTTTCAGAGCTATGCTTGGTGATTTCGGGCTTCTTTTACCGTCGATTGAGTCAACTCGGTTTGAGGCATTAGTGAGTCAGAAAGTGGATATTTTCGAGTTCGGCGTGTTTATACTTGAAGTTTTATCGGGTCGGAGTAGGATTTCAAAACCGGGTGAGATGGACTTGTTAGACTTGGCATGGGCCTTGCACGAGGGAGATGAGAAAGTGAAGTTGGTGGATAGGAATATGGGTTTGGTCGTCAATCCAGATCAGGCTATTCGGGTTTTGGAAGTCGGGTTGTTGTGTACCTTGAATGACAACAAAGGGAGGCCTAGAATGGAACAAGTGGTTGAGTATTTGAATGTTGAGAAACCGATTCCCGAGTTGCCACGGAGTCGACCCGTTTCTTTGTTCCCCTACAGCAGCACCACAGTATTATGTAGTGGGTACTCTTGTGCTCCATTCAAATAATTCCAAGTGTATGATTCACATGAAATGGACAAAATTTGGTTAATAATTTAATGAAACCATCCATTCAATTATTTTTGTCCTAACATAGGCTGGCAGATAATTGTAATGTCATTATCAGTTGATAAAATTGTGTCAATGATTGAAAATTCCAATTCCAGTTTTTGGGTACAAAATTAGCTGTTCTTCAGTGTAGCTCAAAATTTTAAATTAAAGTCAATAATTAATTTTGAATTTATAATTTTTATGAAAAATTATTAAAATTTTAATTTTTAACTAAAACCAAAAGGACTGAATATAATAATGTGACTAAAAGAATAATGGAAAACAAAATGAGTTATGAAAACATAATAGTGACAAAAAAAGGGGTTAATTATATGAATGATCACTGAATTTTGTCTTACGTTATTACTTAGTCATTAAACTTAAAAATGTTACTCAATGATCACGAGTTTCGTCAATTGTTACTAATTTATAACCGAATTTTAAAATGTATCTCAATGGTCATCAACTTTGCACCATGTTACCTATTCTTCACTCAAATGAAAAAATTCGTTAAGTCCAACAAACGACGTCAACTTGAATGACGAATGGATAACACGGTGCAAAGTTCAATGACCATTGAGATACATTTTAAAGTTTGGTTATGAAGTAGTAACATTTGATGAAATTCAGTGACCATTGAGTTACATTTTTAAATTCAGTAACTAAGTAGTAACATGAGACAAAGTTCAGTGACCATTAAGATATATTTTTAAATTGAATTATTAAGCACTTCTTTGAGTCTCATTATTTTCCAAAAAAAAAAATATACATATATATATATATAT